GTAGAGCGCTGCGCTAGTATCGCAGAGGTCAGTGGTTCGAATCCCGTACAGGCCTGATTTTTTTCAGGTCTGATTTTCGCTATGGCATAAATGGCGCTCTCTACTGCGAGGATTGTGTATCATATGAATGTAGGTGATGTAATTGTTTATGGACGTGGCGTCGAGGAATATGAAAAACGTCTTTTTGCGTTGTTAGGACCATCAAAATTTACTTTATTTGGTCATGAGTTGACAGGCAACGGCGTAAATCCAAGATTGCGGCTATCAGATACACGAGGACTCTTAAGGACGCAAGTGAAGTACGATCGTTTATGGGTCTCGTCTAGTACTCTGCAAAGTTGATGCCAGTCGTGACATCAGTAACATCTGTTTGTCTCAGAGCACTTCTTGCTCGGCAGCAGGGAGGAGTTTGGAGAGTTGTGACATATGCATCGAGAAGCTTAACTGACGTTGAAAAGCGGTACAGCCAAACAGAAAAGGAAGATGCGGCATTAGTGTGGGTATGCGAGGGGTTCAGCCTTTACGTTTTCGAAAGGAACTTTGAGTAGGAAAACGACGACAAGCCCCCAGAACGCATTTATTTAGCCACTTCAAAGCCATGTGCGCGAATAGAAAGATGGGTTTTGCGCCTACAGTCGTATGACTTCATAGTTGTTTACTTTTTGGTTACGGCAAACAGCGCAAACGTAGTGTTGAAGTTGAATTCTGACAAGCACTTGGACGTGGGCGAAGAGGTCGACTTTGTTAGAGTAGTTGTGGACAACAGTGTACCAGTGGCGCTTTCAGCTTAAAAAAATCGAACAAGCCTCTTATGATGACGAGGAAGAGAGCGTGGTGAACGATTACTTGAGGTCTGGGAACTGGAACCACAGCAAAGCTGCAGTTTCTTATTGGCATGTCAAGGATGAACTGTGCGTTTATGGAGAGCTCTTGCTTTGTGGCGCAAGCATATTTATCCCCAAAGCCTACGTGACCGAGCAACCGACCAAGATTGCTCATGAGGGTCATCAGGGTATCAGGGTAGACAAGACGAAGACTAGATTACGAAGCAAAGTTTGAAGGCCAAAGATGGATAGTGACATGGAAAGAACGTGCAAGACCTGTCTTGGCTGCCTGGTTGTAGGAGAATGTGGGCCACCAGAGCCACTGTCTCGGGTTTTTCCGCTGACTGCTCCATGACAAAATGTAAGCCCAGCTTTGTTAGGGCCACTCCCCACTGGGGAAAGTGTTCTAGTGCTGGTGGATTATTTCTGGAAGACGCTGTTCTGAAGTCCACAACAAGTTACGACATAAGACCAAGAGATTATAATCTCTTAATGAGACGTATTCAAATTCTTCGGCACGAACACGGAATCTTTTGAGCGCTGAATTAAATAAGTTCCCAAGTTAGTCCCCCCACTGAAGGCTAGTCTTAGACTTCTAGTCGGCAGCAGTCGCATTGGGAATTAGATGGCCCCAATTTCAAACTGAAGTTTTGCTTTTCACAGTTTTCACAGAGAATTTAACAATTAAGCCACCTAGTAATTGATTATTAACTTGTCCTTAATTAATCTCCAATTTTAATGTTTAAGATGAAGACAACTTAGAACACATGCAAGCTGCAAGGCGGTTATGTCAAGAGGAAGAGACCCAAGAAATGGAGTCTGGAAAGCTATCGCAGGCAGACTCCGTCAAAAAACCTATCAGGGAAGTGCATCAGAACGGTCAGCCTCCCGTTAAAGTTGTCCAAGTCTCAGGAGAGGAGGGGGAGAAAAAAATGAGAATAACACTGAAGTGCCCCGATTTGAACAGTCTTCAAAGCTTATGGGAAGATTACCCTTCTGGTTGTCTGAATGCTGCAGCAGCGAGATGCCTACTGACAGACAAAATCAAGGAGAAATTTGGTGTGGAGTCGATAAGTGTAGAGACGACTATTTTGGAGAAAGATTACCTGGCGTGCAGAGAGTACCTATCGGAAAATATTGGTAAGTTTATTTCAAGATTACTTACTCTCTTTCTTTATTAAACTTCAAGCTTTGGTGCTTTAATTCTGTTTGCAATATCTCTTTTTGTTCAACTATCTAAAATTAACTTTCCTAGCTGTTAAAAACACGCTATAATCTCGTTGTTTGGCGTGATTGTGTAAATATCCCTTAACACCCCTTCTCAAATGTACGACTTTTTAGAGCAGATCAGTGCAAGAATCAAACAAAATCGCCAATCTTCGGCAAAGCTGAAACAATCGAATTCACTCGTCTTTTGCATATAGATAGCCTTTAGTAAGTACACGAATGCCATGTAGTTTTTTCCTTGAGATACCAGTTAATTCCTGAGAAAAACGATGTAAGCCGTTTTTAACTTAAACACAATTTGGCGATCCCAAACACGTGCGAACAGGGTTGAAATTAATTATGATTCACTCGACGCGTGTGTCAAAACTACCGCGCTAGAAAAAGCTGTCACAGTTTAATACTTCTGTATAACTTGCTATGGTCTAACCACCATGTTTTCAAATAATTAGATTTATCTGAGTATTTAAGAAAAGTAAAGAAGTTATGGCTCTCCATTGCTTCGTAAAACGGTTGGCGAAAAATAACGATAAGTTTCAGCGTGTGCCTTTGCTTAGAATTTCGTAAGATTACGATTGACAATAACCGAGTTAACGATCTTTCAAAATATGTAAAGGCTACTTCGAGGAAATGAGAGAGCACGCAGGTT